GTTGCAATCCTCCAACTGAAGTTTCGGAGTGAAAGTCAACTCTGAGATGCAGGTACATCCAGTAAGCGAGTCCCACGTAGAACGTAACTCTCATCCGGGATTTCATCGCTAGCCAATGTACGTCTCTGCTTACGACAGTCTATTTAGTTTGTCATTACTACTTAATCGACTGAAATCATATTTCCCAGTGAGAAGAAAAATACGTTCAGGTTGTTAGTGTTGTTAGTGACTGACAGTAACCCTATAAGAGCTATAGGCGGAGTTGTATTATTCTTCAGGATAGTCGGTATGAGATGCCCTATCCGACCTTGTGCACTGGACTGCCAATCATTTCTCCTTTTATGATGCTCACATTGTATTTAGAAAATGAAAAACGAGAATGTCACTTAACAATGATTGTCACATCTAATTTAATGTTCATGAAATTGATAACTAAGATCAATCATTTTCACCGAAAAAAAGGATTATTTTTTGGTGTTGTTAATCATCTACTGAATCATAAATTAAGTAGTTCAGTTCTACTTTTATAGAAAAGCATTTACTTGGGATTACAACATTCACGCAGACGCGATGTTATTTACACTATAAAGTAAAAATTATAGATCACTTTCAGTTTCATAGCGTACGTTGCGAAACCACGAATAACATTGAAACTTAGTATTTACACTGTTACCGACTAATAAGCTACAATGTCGTTCCTGAACTTATTAAAAATCATTCGAGTTACTTTCTCCAAATTTCGATAATACAATGAGAAGACGAAGGTTATCAGAACTATGTGATATATTTGCGCAATATACTTCGAACAATCTGACCACATATATACTTGTTAAGACATTTTTATATGAAAACTAAAAGGTCAACTAGACAAATAAAGGTAAGCTGTAACAAAGAAAAATAAAGTACACAAAAACAATGTGATAACCAGTCTGGATGACAAATCAGTATTGCCAGGGTAGATTAATGCCAAGAACAAATTACTTTTGAATTCATGAACGAAGTTTCAGTTTACGTATAATCAACGCTTCAATAAACCTAAGTGTAGGCCTTTGAAGGCTTTTATAGAAAACTACAAATGCTGACTTCATGTCAACCTTATGACCAGTCTCAACCAAATGTTTCGCAATGGAGGAAGATGTCTGTCTATTCTGTGATCTTATTTGAACCATTGGAATCCATTTGTTTTTGCAGCCATATGGGTATGTGTTCCGCCACCCTTACTTGCATATCACGATTGCTCCTCCCTACGTGCGTGTTTCCGCACATTCATGTAAATTGATAGACACAATGGGATGTGACATAGTCCCTTACGTGCTGTTTGAGTTTTTGGTGAAACATAAACCTTGTCTTTTCAATAATGACAAGTTGAGCTGCATAAAATCTCCTGTTGACGGCTAATTTAAGTCTCCGTTTCAACATTAGAGTGTTTGAGTCGCCTCTAAATTGTAACATAATGTGAACTCGCTTTTTGGGTGCCAGAATCATCATAGGTCTAATCGTATTGCTGCCCTTACAGTGGTTTATAAACTTCAACGAATAACCATTATTCGTTAACTTGTAGTGTCAGTTACTATGTTAAGCCCATCTATCTTATTCTCGCTTTCGGACAGATCAATCAATTGATTCTACTTGAGTCACATTTTGACCTTGTTAATTATTCGCTTATCAATCTCGATTGTTTTTATATGAGCTCATATATGTGTGTACATTTCGTATCCTATATGCATCACATGTCTGTAACTTATTTTTGTATAGCTATAAATATTGATTAGCGTTTGGTTAAAGGGGAGTTAGCTTACCCACCATCTCCACTGAGCGTCGTTTTGCTTTGTTCTATTCCATTCGCTTTACATAAAAAATATGTGTTAAAAAGTCCATTCTCGTTATATGACTTACTTAATTCCGTTATTGAGTAATGCGATTTAAGTCGATGATTATATACGAAGATAGATGATAACAAACATTCATACGATCTGCTTGGAGTCAGAACTCAAGCCACTAAAGTGGAGAGCCCGTCAACAAACATCGTCCGGTCTAAATGACGACAAACTAAAGGACCCACAAACTTTTTAGTCACCAGCTTCTTTCCTACTTCAGTTGTATCGCTAGCATAAATATCGTTGATTCTATTGAATAAGCCCTTTATTAATCCACGTTTGTAATGCGTTGAACAGTGACTACGGAAATTAAGATATTACCCTGTCTATGTAGGCTTTCTGTGTACAGAATGTTTGATGAAACCATCATTTCTCCTACTAATCAGTATTGTTTAGAAAAGAAAGTTGATTATCCTTCTTTTCTTCGCGCGTATTAGAAATATGTTTTTAACTTGTGTTGAGCTCTTTTGACAAACTGTTCACATGACGTTTATCTCCTATGATTATGATGTCGCCAACGTACCGCTTACACAGAAACATCTTTTGAATTGAGTATTCAGCCAGATTTTCAACATATCCCATAAACACACCAGCCAGCAATGGTCCAAAAGGGCTGCCCATAGCTACGCCATCGATTTTTCGAAAGTGCTCGCCCTCAAAAGTAAATTTTACACTGTCAGTACTCAATAATAATAAACCTTTGAGAGTTTTAACAGGAGATGGCAATATAAGGTTATTCAATGAGATATAGTCAAATAAAATATCAGTAGTTTTCCTAAAAGGTACTTTGTAAATAGAGTGTTCTTATCAAAGGAGCTTATCGTCTTCGTTTGTATATTCATATCCATTAAGTACTTCATTAACCCAAATGAGACAAATGAGGAATACTTATAAACTTGATTTCGGATAGGTTTCAATACTATTATCAGACGTTTTGCAAGGTTGTGTGTATGTGACCGACACATTGATACAATTTATAATCATATATAATGGGTGGATAGATAGTTACTCACAACTGTAGACATTATTTTTCGAAACCGATGCATCTTAGTGCAAACTTAGTGTGTATTACACTAGATTATTTAGTGGTTTCCAATACCTTAATGACTTACACCTGTTGCACCTCGTAGAGAAGCATAGGTCGCCCAAAAGCATTATCCATCAAACTCTGTCCTGGACAATCATTCACAGTTGTCCCCAGTTACTATTCATCCTTTTCATGTCTGCTTCCAATTCTCAACACAATATGTCCTGTGACATTCCTCTTTTCCGTTTACCTTCAGCATTCGAAAATAGCGCTTGTTTCGTGATGCAGTTTGGTGATTTCTTCAATGTATGTCCTATCCATTTCCAGACTTTTCCTAATTTCATCTCCATATGGAAGCTGGTTTGTTCTCTCCCACAGTAGACTGTTGTTGATGGTATCCGGTCAGTGGACATTGAGTATCGTATGTAGACAATGGTTTTCAAATACTTGCAACATTTTAATGATGATTGTGGTTGTTGTGCAAGTTTCTGCTCCATACAATTGAACTGTCTTGAAATTTGTATTGAAAATTCTGATTTTGATGATGGCTTACAGACCGTTGTTTTGAGGAGTTTTGTATGTTGGTCAGTTGTGGGGATGCTGTCCTTACTTTGTCAATCCTCTTCTTCACGTCTGCATCAGATCTTTCTTGTTCATCGATGATGCTGACCATATTATGTACGTGAACGTTTCCAACTATTCCAGAAATTCTTCATCGAGTGTGATTGAGTTTGTGTTCTATGTGTTGTATTTGAAGATGTTGGTATTTCCTTTATGTATACTGAGGCCTACTGTTAGACAGTATGCTGATTTAATCGTCATATCGTAAGCTGGGTTTCGATGGAACTCCACCCTGTACAATCCTTTCTCAATAACATAAAATTCTTATTAGCAACATTCTGACGATGTCGTTATGACGATATACTATAGTCGCATGACCTTTTCATAAATACTATCACTGTCATTATTATTTTCACAAGCGATATAATATTTCTTACATGATGCATTCTATTCAACTAATTCAGTTACTGATTGTAATTTTTCCCGGTGTAATACAATCAACATGAATTCATCTTTGTATAATCTAGCGATGAAATTATCAAAAACAAATCGCACTCAACCAGTGTTTGGTCTGGATACCCTGTAGGGATCTTTAAACTAGTGATCAATATACGTGGTGTTTCCGAATAAATAAAGTTGACGTTTATTGTAAGGATAAGGAAGATGGTTATAGTTCTAACTACTGAGTATGCGAAAGTGATGGTTACTAGTAGGAATAGGGGATCATACCGAAAAATCCACAAGTGATAATTACATTACTCCCGTCGTGGTTAAACTCCATCAGTCACAGTCTCTCACAAGAACCTCTCTCAGTTAGTTATGATCACTACTTAATAAAAGAGTTTGTCTAGATTTATTTAATTTGAACGAAATTCACCATTAAGGGTAAACAGTTGCTTACTATTATTTTGAATTAGTCTATACATCATTATCAGAATAGTCAAGAAAGTGTATCCTATTGTTTTAATATGGAAAAGCTATTGAATACAGATTTGTACCTTTCTTTTATTATCATAATGCTTATGATTGATATTGTTGTAATTACAATGAGCGATTTAAGACACATTGATAAGACATATGCATAAAGATTATGTATGAGCCAATTGAAATAGGTGTTAGAACGTTCATATATCCATATATATACATATACATACATCTATTATCTTTGAAGCCAAGCTACTAAAGTATTTGTACGTCTATAAACTATGTAACACTTAATTATGCAATCATATTTAGTCTAATTTTATGCACCCAATTAATTATCTAAGTGCAAATTTATGCACAATATACTTTGTTGTACCTGTCATTTGATTATAGGTGTAGAAAATTAAATATTCCATATATATGTTTTCTCTATGAAGCCAAGTTACTAAATTCTCATTTTCTTACTTTATTGCATTTATAATAAGGTCAAAAGTATGACACACTTAATGATATAAATAATGTCTGATTTGAAACAAAAATTACTAAGGTAGCATAGTAAACGGCTACTCAATTTATCCGCTTACATACTACAAATCTTTTAAAATATAATAATGGGTGAACAAAAAGCAGTAATCAAAAATGCTGATATGTCAGAAGATATGCAACAAGACGCTGTTGATTGCGCTACACAAGCTTTAGAAAAATATAATATTGAAAAAGATATAGCAGCATTCATTAAGAAAGAATTTGACAAGAAATACAATCCTACATGGCATTGTATTGTTGGGAGAAATTTCGGAAGGTTAGTAATATTTTGTAACTCGACATAAATATTTATTCATTATTAATATGTAATCAATGTTATTCACTCACTGTCTATGCCAAGACAGAAATCATTTGAAGTTATAATGTGGAGATTGTAACAGTGTATAAGGAATTATGTAACTTTATTGGGAGTCAATAGTATACATGTAATTGGATAGTATTCATTTAACTATTTTTTTCTGTCACATTTATGTAATGCATTTTTTCTTCACCTACGTACTTGAGTCACCAAAATAAACGGTTCGCAGTTCCGTCGTATACATTCGAGGACGAGAAAGGATCACCAATTACGAGCTTTTAACGGGATTATGTTAGTTTGATTCAATTCATCAAATGATTCTCAAAATCACTGAGAAATAAGAAGCATTATAAAAGTGTAGATGGTAGAGAACGATTTGAACTACGTCTAAGAAGAGATCCCTTTCAATGGCATGAAACTTAATATAACATTTAATTTCTCTCTATAAATGAACAGTCTGATTTTGAATGAACATTATGTCTGTCTGATCAATCAAAAGATACTTACAAGTTTAATGTTAATGTCTTTTATATCTGAATTAATTCGGTCATTGACTGTTTATAAATAGAATGTCTAATTCAAGGACAGTTTACGTCAAGTTAGTGTAGTTGCAAAACGTTCGATGAAAACACAGATGTCAGTTTGACTGGATGTAGGAATCATAAGCATCATCAGTGTTGGATTTAGTAATTCATTCATGAATCGTACAGCAATCCTCAGAGTAACAATTACAAATCAAACTTAGTTGAATGACAGACAGTTAGATCGAAATGATAAACGATGTAAACCACTAAGTACTTATCAACAGTGACATCTTAATTTCTCATACTTCTCAATCCAATCCTCAAGTAATTCAAACTATATATTTTGACGGATCTGTAATCTAACTTTGCAATTCTATGCATCCTGTGTAATTTCATGTTCTGAATTGGTGGATTCAAATGAAGTTCGTAAGATTTTCTTGTTCTGAAATTTGCTTATATGTTGCTAACTGGTTTTCCAATTCCCTTTCTGAATTTCAGTTATGTGACGCATGAAACCAAACATTTCATCTATTTTTACTTGGGACAGCAAGCAATTCTTCTCTTCAAATCTGGTTAATTCGAAGAAAGTCAAGACAACAAGAGAAATACCACCAGAAACCAAATCAAACATTGTAACGCACATCTGATCATTATGCATTCAGCGTAACCCAATTAACTTCACAAACACAATTTTCTGTAGTAATTCATCTTTCTAAGAACAAACAGAAAAAATATAGGTTGAATGAAGACCACAAAACAGAACAGAATAAATATTAGTATAACTGAGATTGTGTTTCCACATTGTCTTTTGTACTGGTTGATCCATTATCATATTATTGTCAGTGTGTGCTTTTGTGTGTGGTAATTTTATCTGTGGTAGTGTTTCAAAATCGAAAATGAAACATCTTCATTATTAGTAAACAATTGAAATAAACAGTTATTCGTGCAGAAGACCGAGAGTGTTTTCTCTTTATATTTCGTCATATAGGTGTGTTTAAGATGGGTAATATAGATGATCGTTTCTAGTTGCTCGTGTATATATTTAGTAGGAAGCAATTATCGAAACAGATAGTTGATATGTAATATTAGGTAATTTTCGAATCGTATTTAGTGCACAGCTACTGTAGAAGAGGATCATGAGTGTGAGTCATTAAATCATAACGTAGAGAATATTTCGATGACAATTATGAATTGATAGGTTGGTTCTTCATTGACGCACCTTCAGAATTGATGTATACAATGCACATAATCTGTGACAGTGGAACTTCTATGCATTTATCTAGCACTAACCAACCTATTGGAATCAAGGCCCAAATGTTTCAGATAACCTGAACTACTTATCGTTTCACTACATGAAGCTATCACAAACATTAGAAGTATATTCACATATATCTAATAGAAGAACTTTCAGTTTATAAACTGCAGTATGCATATTTAACCACTGAAGATAGATTAAGTTAGTATAGTTTCTCGATTACGTGAATAGATCACATAAAAAGTGTATGCTCGTTATGATCAATTAAACTGTGCATCATATTATGAATTATTAGCAGACATCAGGCAAAGATGCATCTCGAATTGTACCTAAAGATGGATGAGATGCCTGCATATGCAGACTTCGCTTGTTAAAGTATATTAATGACAAATGAATTCCTAAATGCTGATGTCTTTCATCCAAAATACGGCGCGCTATTTAAAAAGGACAGTGGTATTTTTCCTCGCTGAGTAAATTTCTTTGTTTTGATCGTTTATTACGTATCAAGACTACTGTTTTTCACTTTTATTGAATTTATTTCAGTTAAAGTATTTGACTAAAGTATCGTTTTTACTGTTTTGTCGTTGGTACTCTTGAGTGCCTCTTTTTCAACTGTATCTGTTAGTACTTTTGGTCCTAGCAATCTACAGCTCTTCACTTTTGGTCATTGATAAATTTTTTTGTTCTGAGTATCATCACAGTTTAAAAAAGAATCCCTCCCAAATGACCGGACAGTGTAAAAAAAGCAGTTGTCAACGTCCGGGTTGTCGTTATCCTGTTGAAAGCGGCATGCAGTGCGACGAGTGCAAAGGCTGGTACCACGAAGTTTGCACGAACTTAACGCCTGCTGCTTTCAAACGGTTCAGTAAGAAGGGTTGTGTGTGGCTTTGTCAATAGTGCTGCTCGGATGCAAACAGCTTGCTAACCGAGGCCATCTCACTGGTTGATGCTGCAAAGAAGTGTTTTAGCAAGCATAGTCGGAACGCGTCAAACAGCACTCGGTCTGTCGACACGCAAATCAACGTGAAGGAAACTAAGGTTAGTCCGGTGGTAGATGACTCACGCCCGTCAAAGAAGGAAAAGCAGTCTCCAAATAGGCCTGCCTTTAAAAAAGGCTCAAGAAAAGTAGGGTCTTTTGTTCCCCGTCTCCCAGATGGGATCCAACAGGAAACACCTAGGAGCCGCAATTGCAAGGCTCGATCGGTTTCAAACGGTAAACATAACACGACCCCTCAGGTCGTCGACAACCCCCCAAAACCCAACACTAGGTTTGACGCAACTGTTATTGCTTCTACCAGCACCGTTGACGAATGGGTAAAGGTTGTAAGGAAGAAAAGTATTGATATAAAAGGGAAACCTGCCCCCGTAAAAGTGGTTGAAAAATCGAAAGCTAATCATAGCGACAGATCAGCTATTTTTCATAGAATCAAGGAGAGCGATAGCTCTGAACCTAAAGCTCGTTTTGAGCATGACATTGTACTGATTAGGCAGCTGCTTAATCAACTCATGCCTCAAAATATGACCGGGGTCACCTTGCTAAAGGTGTACAGACTAGGGAGTCTAACGGACTCGAAACCAAATCATTCCAGACTGCTTAAAGTAGTATTCGGCTCTTCGAACGAACGTGACCTAATTTTACAAAATGAACACAAATTAAAGGGTTCAGGAGTCGTTATCCGAAAGGACCTACTGTTGGCAGACCGTGTTTAAAGACGGGAAGCCGAGAAAGAACTACAACTTAGGTTAGACGCTGGCGAAAAGGACCTGAAAATTGTAAATTTTTGGGTTGTAAGACTTCGACAGAGAATGATGCCGAAGCCACTCTGGGTGAAGCACGAAGGCACTTAAAGAGGCTTCGGATCTGTTACACCAATGCACGAAGCTTACTTAATAAGCTATCGGAACTAGGTGTACAGATTGACTCTACAAAGCCAGATATAATCGCATTAACAGAAACCTGGCTGACACAGGCTATAGATAGTTTAGAACTTGATTTCGAGGGCTTTACGTTAGTAAGGGCCGACAGAACACAAAAGCGCAAAGGAGGGGGAGTAGCTCTATTCATTAGGAATGCTATCCCATTTACCATTATCGATAGTGTATCCCATGAAAATGGGACGTGTGAATTAGTTAGTCTTCGCTTAAAATGCAAGGGACAAGAGCTGCTGGTTGGTTTGGTCTATCGCAGTCCAAGCTGTGAGGCAAATGAGATCCTGTTAAGCAGTCCCAATACTTGGTCCCAAAGTGGTCGATGTCTAATCCTAGGGGACTTTAATGCACCTATGGTAGACTGGGAAAATCTGCGAACTAAATCGTCAGAAAATTCCTTCGAGCAGGAACTAGTTGATGCGGTTATCACATGTGCTTTAGTGCAAGATGTGAAAGAAGCGACAAGGTACGATCCGGACACTGAATCATCCTTATTAGATCTTATACTGACTCACTATGAAGATGATGTTGCGAACCTCCATCATATGCCACCCCTAGGTAAAAGTGACCACGCAGTTTTAACTTTCGACTTCCATATATCTGCCAGTCATGAGGACGCGTCAGTCCAGTCTAGACCCAACGTCTGGAAAGCAAACATACCAGACATCATGCACTCAGCATCGTTAATAGATTGAACAATAGACCCAGAGTCCTCCATTGAAACGGCCTGGGACACATTTCGAAATTCATACTTAAAAGTTACCACACCTCACATCCCTTGGACTATACCAAAGGGCCCGAAAAACTCACCACCATGGTTCAGTAGGGAGGTCCGTATCCTTCTCCGTAAGAAAAGGAAAATGTGGGATAGATTTAGGTTACTGGGGACTGATGAGTCAAAATCTCAGTATCGAAAGGCTCGGAACACTTGTGCCACGACCCTCCGTAAATCTAGAAAATTGTACGAAGAAAAACATGTTAAGGAATCCATAGAATGTTCTAAACGCTTGTATTCCTATATAAACCAAAGGACAAGGAAAAAAGGAAATATTCCTGCTCTATGGGGAGACAGTACTGCTTCATCATTAGTGGAGGACGACTTTGGTAAGGCTCAAGCGTTCTCGAACTACTTTAGCAACATGTATACCATAGAAGCGCCCTTCTCGTCAGCGTATACAGATCCCCCATACATACACTGGATAGCGTGACCATTAAAGAACTCGATGTCTTTGGTCTGCTAAATAAGCTTGACATAGGTAAATCCATGGGGCCCGATGAATTACATCCTAGGCTACTGAAGGAATTATCTAACTCCGTTGCAAGCCCTTTAAGTACATGCTTTAACCTATCCGTCACGCAGGGTCGCTTACCGAAAGATTGGAAAAATGCCATAGTAAGTTCTGTCTTCAAAACAGGCACGAAACACAAACCTGAGAACTACCGCCCCGTCAGCCTAACTAGTGTGGTTGTTAAAATATTAGAAAAGATTATTCGGAAGGAGCTGTTTAAGTATCTCGATAAAAACCGGATCCTCTCGGAGAAGCAGCACGGCTTCAGAATAGGTTATTCTTGTCTCACTAACTAATTAGTGGCTCGGGAAAGCTGGTGTGCTCTTAAGGACCAAAAGCTACCTGTAGGCGTCGCCTTCATTGATTTCAGTAAAGCTTTTGATAAAGTTCCGCACAACCGGCTGTTATATAAGTTAAGAAAAGTCGGGATTAGAGGCAATTTATTGATGTGGATAAAAGACTTCTTAGTTGGGCGTCAACAAAGAGTAAGGGTGAACTCAAAGTTATCTAGCTGGGAAACTGTGCTTAGTGGAGTGCCCCAGGGTACAGTTTTGGGGCCAGTGTTATTCCTCTTGTATGTAAATGACCTTCCTTGTCTCCTATCATCATCGGTCTTGTTATATGCTGACGATGTCAAGATATGGAGAACGATACGATGTAAGAGTGATAGCTTAGAACTTCAAAATGACCTGAAGAAGTTATCTGAATGGTCTCAAACATGGCAGTTGCCGATAAATACTTCCAAGTGTGTTGTGATGCATATCGGTCATCAAGGCACAGATACATACACGATGAGTAACACTGAGCTACCTGTCGCCCAGACATATAATGACTTAGGAGTTATCGTTAGTCAAGACTTAAAGACTACTGCACACTGCCGTGCAATAGACGCCAAAGGTTTTAGAACGTTATGGTCAATACGTAGAGCTTTTAGTCATGTCGACGCTAAGACGTTTTTGACTTTGTATACAGTGTTCGTTCGTTTTAAACTTGAGTACTGCATACAAGCGGCTAACCCCTGCTTAAAAAAAGACAGTGAGCTTCTGGAAAAGGTTCAGAGAACGGCGACTAAGCTGATTCCCGGAATAGTGAAGCTTCCATATG